CAGTGCATCCAATCGTGTGCGGCGCGCGCTGTGGATATCGTTTAGTGTGCCATGCGATGTCGAGGCCTTTGTTCATATCACTGATAAATGTTCTCGTTAATGAAAGGACTTTGTGCAGGGTATTCATCCGATACACCAGGATATGCGCGTGCTGTGGCAGCAGAAGATGGTAGTGCACAGTCTGGTATCTGAGGAGAAGGCCTCAGTAACGTTGTCGAGTCGAGGAAGATGCCCGACCGGGATGAGGTTCAGGCACCGAATGGAGATATCGTAGGCAACTAAATTTTTTGCCTCCTCTTGGATTTGGGAAGGAACATGGCCCAATTAGCGTAAAAATGAAAAGTCCGAAAATTCCCCTATCACGTGACCAAATCCACATTTTGAACAGAAAAAATCAATTGTGGGGCATTGCGAAACGCAGTCTGCAGAGGGCTATGCCTAAAAAAAGTGCTCAATCTCAGCTGGCAAAGGCTCAAAGTTTGGCAAGCACAGTTTTGATTCTGGCCTCGTTGGCAATGACCAGTTCGAGCAACTTGCAAACCCAGATTTCGAATGTGGTGGCAATAATGATCAAGGTTCGGACTACGAGAATAATGCATCTTCTCAAATACTTGTATCAATACTGATTTCACTCTAGCAAAAGGCTGAATGCATGTCAGGTGGAATTTTCAGTCCATAAATATCTAGATAGTGGGATGGTGGTAGCAATTTCTATATTTGGGATATTTCTATATTTGGAATGTCCGTATTAGGAAATTAAGGGTCCTCAGGGTCCTAAATCCACATTTCGAGGACGAAAAAAAAATTCAAACTGAAGATAATAAAGTTCTAATGAGTTGGGGATGACCCCATGTTCAATCTGAGTCGATTCCTGTAGTTTTTGTAAAAAATGGATGACTTGCTGATGACGAGATGCCATCACCAGATTTTGGGTGCCAAGAGGTCGGTTTTGACCGTCCTACACTGTAGTATCGATGAATTACGATCTCTTCCAGACTCATTACCCGACGCTCAGCTCTCAAGGTTGCAACGTTCAAATTTCACGTTCGGCCAGTATCTTGTCTAATTATCGTTTCACTCAGGAACGACACTACCGCAGCGTGCGACGCCACTGGTTTGACAGGATTCAGTTGAACATCGCAATTGTCCAGGTGCCTCCTTGACTATCAAGCATGCAACTTCACCAGGAAATTGATACCTCAGGCGCAAGCGGCGTAGAAGAGGCATCAGCACAGTCTGAGTATCTTCCCATCACCCTCACCGACCGTATTCCTGGGGAACTCTATGACCATATCATCAACCATCTTCATGCCGATCCATCTGCCCTCGCGTCATGCGGCCTGGTCTGTCGCGCATGGTTACGCGCGAGTCGATACCACCTCTTTTCAACCCTTGAGATCAACCACACCAACGCTGAGGTAGTCGGCAGGCTTCTTGACTCTCAACATGCGACCCTTGGTGTATCTGTTCGGCGACTCTACTTTCGCTCCAGCACCAATGCTCGTCTGAATGATAATCGCTTCCTTGGCAAGCCCATTCCTCATGTTCGTGATCTGGTGGTATTAGGACCACCCAGCTGGGCCGCCTTCGCTGACGAATTCCTGTCCTTGACGCGGTTCTACGCGCATCACCTCACTCAGCTCGTTCTTATCATGGGGGAGGATGATTCTTTCCCGACCTTTGCGCATGTGTTGCGCCAAGTCACGATGCTTCGACATCTTGCCCTACTCCGTGCACCGCCGCATTGGCAATTTGAAACAATTTCACATTCACATTCCACTTCCTGGAGAGCAGGCAATGTGCGAGATAGAGACACAACCCTCTTTCTCCCTTGTTTAGAATCTCTGCACTGTTCGTACGGTGATTTCTTCTTGTGGCTCTACAACAGAGGCGTTGCCACCATTAAACGATTCGACCTAAGGCTCGAGTTCAATACTGTATTGGACTATACCGGTGTTATCCCCCTCAGGACCGTTGTTCTGCCCCTGATTACCCAATACTATCATGCACTGGGCTCGAATCTCCAAGAACTTGACTTATACCATTACTATGGTGCGATCTCATGTTTGTGTTATCGAAACGAACAATTTACCAGTATGTAAAAGGCATGCGAATCGCCGACTCTAGTAATAGTATCGATCTGTCAGCAAACGGCAATCTACGTAAATTGTGGTTTCACCACGTTCTACCAATGTACGGGCGATGGGTACTAGATGCGCTTGCAACCATCACATCGCCACATATCCATAGGATTACGATCCATCTCCGTAGTTTCCCCCACGACGAACACGCCGGCTTCGACAACTTCGACTGGAACACCTTCACTAATCTCCTGTCCAACGCGCCTTTAGCCCTGCGTTAAAAATTGTCCAAATTGTCTGGTTTCTCCGCGATGAGGACTCGCCGTCGGGACTGGAAAAGCATTTGGCAGGGCGGATACCTGGGACGGAGGTTGCTGTGATACCGGAGCAGATCGACGGCAGTCCGATTGTCGGTGTCACAATACATGGACGCTTATTCGACAGACACAGTGAAGTCTAAATGGCGCTTTCCCATTAATTATATCATGATACTTGTGCCTTTCTCCTGGGCCTGCGCCTCGCGCGTCGATACGTCTTCGGTTGAAAGAGATGAGAGTGGCGTCAAGAGAGGACTATATATTTGACCGCCAGTGACCAGTCCGATAAGATTTTATGTTATCGTCCTAGATTCCTTTCACCGCAGCTCGTTCGTTTCCTACATATACTTCACCGATGTTTTCTGTTTTTCTTGCGGTGCTTCCTCATACTCACATGCAGCTTGTTAGGTTTTGTTGTGCTCCCTCGCGCTGCTTCCTCATACTCACATACAGCTCATTAGCTTTTGTGTAGCCCTAGTATACTGGTGCTTTTTTCTTTCTCTCCCACCCTTACCGCTTACCCTCTTCCAGTTTTCTTATTTTTCTTTTTTCTTGCTACACTGCTTTCCGCTTTTGTATTGCACGTTCGCCTGTACTACATACATTCGCCCACGCCAGCTTGAGTTCGGCCTCCTTTCGGGAAGTCCGCCGCGCGAGAGAGTTTGGGCGACCGAACAAGAACTATTTGCCCACAAACTGCGTCCGGACCTGAGCACGCTCGTCTCCTGCTTGCTCCCCTCGAGTCGGTCTCTTCTCCTCTGGAACTTTTTTTACTACTCTGGTATTCGACTTCATCCCGACTTCAGTCCATTCGTACGGGGTTGGATACAGATAAATTGGCGCATGTCAACCTCTCAACTCTGCTGGAAATGGTTGCGCAGAACATTCGACAGGTATGTGGTGCGCTCGTTTGGTATGTAGGTTTGAGGATCCTGTCCATACGGTGGTTAGAAGAAATAGCTTCCGAACTTAACTCATAAGAATTCCTTGATCAATCATCACCGCTTGTTGAACGGAGTCAGTTTATAAGTAGGTACCGCTCCTCCTCCTTCAACTCATTTTCCAGTTTATAGTGTCCTGCAGTGCGTTCTTTACAGTTGCCATGTTTGCGGTCGCTCGTCGCTTTGATTTCCGCTCCACACGCTGGACTGGCCTTCGAGCCATCTCAACGTCCTCATCGCCTCCTTCCGCCTCCTCCTCCAGCACCACATCGGCACCTACGGCAACTTCCTCAGCCGCCCCCTCCTCCAGAGACAGCCAATCCCTTACCCTCCCAGATGGCCGTCTGCTAGGCTACGCAGAGTATGGCGCCAATTCGGGCTTCCCCCTCGTCTACTTCCACGGCTTCCCTTCGAGCCGGCTCGAGGGCTCGCTTTTCGACGCACTCGGTAAGCGCCGGAACATCCGCGTCATCGCTCCCGATCGCCCCGGCTTCGGGATCTCGTCTCCCCAACCCGGCCGGACGATCCGGGACTGGCCAGGCGACGTCGCGGCGCTCGTCTCCCATCTCGGGCTCGAGCGGTTTTCGATTCTCGGCGTTTCTGGGGGTGGGCCGTATGCGCTTGCATGCGCCCTTCCCGGTGCCCTCGGGGATGCTTCTGGGGGTCCCCCGGCTGTTGGAGTCCTTGCCGGCGCTCCACCCTGGGACGCACCTGGTGCGCGTGCGCATATGGCAAGGTACCGCCGGGCTATGGCGCGCATGGCCCAGTACACACCCACGGGCTTTGGACTTCTCGCCTCGTCCATTATCGGCACTGCGCGCTGGACGGTTGGAAGGGAAGCGGTGATCAAACGCATCGATGCCTGGCTCGAGACCTACCCCGACGCCACCAAAACTACAGAGCAGAGAAGGAAGGATCTAATTCGCATGGCACTCGATGCGTATACACAGGGAAGTGGCGGCCTCGTGCAGGAGACGCGCCTCCTTACACTGCCATGGGGGATCGCGTTTGACGAGATTTCCCAGCCGGTCAAGATTTGGCATGGGGTCAAAGATACTGCATCCCCAATCGAGCCGGTACGGTGGATGGCGGACAGGATTCCGGGGGTGGTATTCAAGGAGTTTGATGATGCGGGGCACTATGATGTGGATAAGCATTTTGAGACGGTGCTTGAGGGGATGGCGCCGAGCTCAACGGGACAATAGAACAAGACTGACTGGCTCAGTGGACCTACTTAGAAACCTATAGCACTGCTCATCTAACTAATATTATCACCACCCCTCCTCTGGCTCGAAATTAAACGAAACAACTCACTCGTACCTAGATATTGCTGACTTCAGAAGCAACTTCGCAGATCTTACTCGACACCTCTTCTTGAACATTCGATGCCCAATTGCCTGCGGTGTGCGATAACTTGATCACTTCGCAAGTCACTTTGCCGGAGTGGTTAACGGGATCGCCTGCTACCTTGTGGCATATAGCGGTTGGGCTTTGCCCGCGAGTGTTCGAATCGCTCAGGTGACGTCTTTTTCCTGGCATCAATGCGGACATCTGCTACACCCACCACCCACTATTGGCACGACGGTAAGCATTCAGTACTCAGTACCCCCCAGTTGAGAAGTGGACCATGATGAGACAGACATGCCAGATTTGCTTTTGTGGTCACTTTGCCGGAGTGGTTAACGGGATCGCCTGCTACTTTCGTGGCATATTAGCGGTTGGGCTTTGCCCGCGAGTGTTCGAATCGCTCAGGTGACGCGCTTTTTGCTTCTCGGCCCTATTCTATCCGCATCTTGTTGACCTGATCATCTTCTTTGTGCAGCCCCAGCCATAGGGGGATCGCTGAACGCGTGGCCCGAGTTCGTAGTACAGGACCCCACAGCAATGATATACATATGATATATCAACGGGTACCTGGTGAATGGGTCACTTGAGCGCCTTCAGTCGTGAAACATAGAAAACGAAAGACTCATAGATAAGAAGCTACTCGAAATTCGAACCCATCCCGACAACGAATGTGCTTCTTCCGCCCCGCGGTAGCACCAACACCTTCTCGGCGCCGTGGACTTGGTATGTCTCTATGCTGGGTATAGCCATTGAACCCATCGTCATCTCACCCGACACCGGAAGCGCTGTCAACTTCACCTTGGGCAACGCCAGCTCCCCGTGATGCAGAGCGATCAGTGTTATTGGCACAGTATGTGTGGCGCCGTCCTGTTCATCGTCGCATCAGTCACAAATAGTCCAGTGTTAATCGATTCAGTCTTAGCACCCACCAGAGCCACAAGGTTCCCGCGCTTCGGTCCACTGACTAGCCAGTCCCGTACCATTTCCTCGACGTCATATCGAAGGAAATACCGGCGCTCCTTGTCGCCGGCACTTGATCCCCAATGAAAGGACGTGTGTATTGTCACCCTCGCAGATATTGGCTGCCCGGCAAAAAGTGGCAATGTGCCTTCGTCAGTACGAACATCGCTGAGAGTTGCCATGATGCGGACGCAAGCAGCAGCAACAATCTTCGATAGGAGGGCGTTCAGAGGGTGTGTCGTGGGCGGACTGAAGGGAGAAGCTTACATTCATGTATGGCACGTCTACAGGGATTTTGATCTCCCTCCAGCTCCCTTCAGGTGAATATGGATGCTTGTGTGATCGAAGTAGCTAGAGGTCGCCCTCAGATTGCATTCAAGCAGCGAAACCTATCAAGAAACAAACCTTCTTGGCCGTTTCGAACAGCTGAGAAGTCTCCGAGGCCGCACCATCTGACGATTTGCTGGGAACATTGACTTCTCCGGTGATTCCATACAGGTCGACCCATCCAGCATCGAGCTCCAACTGCTCGATTAGCTTATTGACGATGATGACCCGATGGTGATGCGCAGAGGACGAGTCTTCTAGGACTTTTGTGACGACATTCTCAATCACAGACTCCACCTCTAGAGGCGCGCAGGGTTGAGTGTCGAGCACGGAATGGTCAAGAATCAGGCGCACCTTCGCGCAACATGCGATATTTGATGAGCAGATTCAACGACTCCCGCACCGGACCGTTGGCAGAATCCATATAGAACAGGAAGTTCACGGGTTGTGCAGGGGTGACAGTCTGAGATAGCATTGAAAAGCCCGATTTAAACATCGGACCAATAGCGAAACTCACCACCACGCCGCGATTCTTCGTTGCGCAGGAAACAATTTTTACGCCGTCAAGACCTTCCCCTTGTGCCATCAAGTGGGCAGCACGTATTCGCACATGCTGGTGGCTGGTTGTCGATATCGTGAATTTAGAAAAGAGGCTATAACAAAAGATTGCTCAGCTACAGCGCAGTGTCAAAAATTTGACAACAATTTCGTACCGGGACCCCCTGAAGAAGTCTTCCACGTTGACCGAGATGGGGAGTGCTGTGAGGACCACTCTTGTCATTCGTATTGTGCGTGAAAGGTTTGGCTCAGGTTTGGTGGTGTATTCCACCTCCGAGACAATTTTCTGAGAGTCCATGAGCCGACATTGCCACAGGTCAAGACAAGGAGTATGCTCGCCATTGCCTGGAAGGCTGATGTATCCGAGTGTGGTACCAAAAATGAAATAGTGGTATCCTCCGGAATGTCCTCAAGAATGATAGCGTTGTCGACGACTTCCAACACTTGAGATCGTTTGTCTGTAGGAATAGACTGTAAGACATCATCAGAGGAAAGAGTGACAATGACAATGACCTCCACTTAAATACGCGTTCTTGGGACGGAATACCACGCCTGCTGATGTGAGCTTCACCGAAGCCCTCAAAATATGGTTCCGACCCGTAGTCACTGCCACCAGGATCGTTGGAGGTTCGCCGAGCTCAACTAGAAGCGCCGATGAGTAAACAATGTCCCATAGACCACATCAAAAAAATCTACCTTGGTTTGGTTGGCTTATCTGCACATCAAGGGAAAGCAGATCCCTTGATATCCGAACAAGAGTGGGTGTGTCCTTGCGTAATGGCGAGGGGTTCTTTGGTGGAGGTTTTCGATGCGTCCATTGGAAGCATAGCTTTTCTATCCGCAGTTCGCTAGAGTCAAGAATATAAGTACCCGCTGCCGCTGCCTAACAAAAAAAATCAGTCGGTTGAAGAAACCACCACGACGAACTTATGCCTCACAGGGCAAACTATTGTCTGCTCCGACTTGCCAAAAGGTATGCATTTCAATGGCGCAGCAAATCTACATTTCTCTGAATTTCGGCCCGTAAGGATGACACTGAGTTCATCTGCGTGAAGATCCTGAAAATATGTCAATACAAAGATATCAGATGCCAGTATCTCAGCTTACGCAAGGTAAGTGGTTGTGGAGAATTACGTCCAGGAAATAACCATCCTTGGTCTCTGCTATACGGGTGCTCGACGAGACCTGTAATGATACCGCTGTATGGTCGGGATGTGCGAGATCTGGGTGCAGATAATTAGAAAACCATATGCGGGAAAAGGCGATAGAGGCTCCCCTGTATCGAGCCTGGAAGCAGCCAGTCTGAGGCTTTCGACGAGCCGTGTCACGTATTCAACCTTGTCTTCGCTGTGCAAAAACAGTTCTGAACCTTGGCTGTCGACATAAGACTTGAGGAAGGAAAGAAGGATGTGGATCCATTCGGTATCTTTATCCTTCTCAAAGACCTCGTGAGTATCGAGTGCTCGCGACAGCATGAAGGACTCGAGGGATGTCCACATATGTGGCGCGTAATGGGCGGGAAGGGAGGAATAAGTGGCCAGGGCATTTTTATAGTTGCCACGGTGGCTGAAGCATCTGTCAGACGGTGTGGGACACAAACGGACGAAAATACGTACAGGTCAAGTGCAGCAAGGCTTCCGTGTAGTCGTAATGCAAACTTCTTGCGGTCAGCCTTCGTATACATATCGATGGCCCGGTTCGTCGCGTCAATGTAGAGTTTGTAGAACACATCAGGATCTTTGATGGCCTTGAGGAGTTCGGTGTTGGTGATGGTTTGTGTCGAGTTCGTCTCGACGGGTGAGATGGATGTGTCGCAAGATGAAGAGAACGGCGGACGTTTAGGAAGGTGACCAACAGCGACACCGATAACATCCAGCTTCAAGCTGTCAGCTCGAAGACAGGCACTTCAAATTCGGGGTCATACCTGGGTTCGCGCCAACTCGAGAAGTTCGCCCTTGGCTGAATTAAACGTGTTGAGTTTCGGACCTGTTATTGAGAATCCGGCGGCCCAAGTATCACAAGATTCAACAGCACTGAGGGCAGATGAATAGATCCATGATTCCACGAAGAATCGCGGTAGTGTTGTCTTGGAGGCGTGAGCCGATGTGAACCATTGTGGAAATTAACCGTCTTACCTCAATATCGCGCAATCGCCTCCCAAAAGCGCCTAGAAACGCCACTGCCTTCCTACTGATCTCGTTTATACGACCTCTCTGAGCGAGGAGTTCGCACTGGCGGGAGAGAAGGTATATCCGGAAGTCGAAGACTGAGATGGTGTTGGCAAGAATGAGGTCCCGATAGGCTTTCTTCGTGACGGAGAGCAGAGGTGCAGAGTCATCTCCTCCCAAAGGATTAATCAATGTACCGAACCAAGATAAATTCTTTTCCTTCAAGACGTGATAGAAAGCTGTCTCGAGTTCCTCGTATTGTGTATACGCGTCCTCAAATAGATTGACACCTTCGAAGGAGCTCGCAAGACTTTCCTAGTTCGAGTTCAGTCGGAATCGCAGGGTCGGGCGCTGAAACGACGTCACCTTGAGCACGAAGAATGTACAGAAGTTCCATCCAGGCATCTGACGCTGGCTTTCGGACCGCTTCACCTCCTCCTCCCTCTGCGAGACTGCGGAGTCAAACGCGGACAACACGCCGTCCTTGATTTTGTTGATGAGTTCTGCCCATACGGCCGGGGCGTCGGTTTCTGGCGACCATGATACCTGCACACACCTGCCTACGGGGTCAATTACTTTCAATGAGTCAGCCTAGAGGCGTACCGCTCTCGCTTCTCAGCATTGAAATCTGCTCGTATCTTCTCAAATACCGAACCCTTGAGCTGGAAGAAGTTGGCCGTTTGTGCCGTTCGTGTGTCGGGTCGGATGATATGCACGATCAACCATTCCTGGTGTTTTCGCGTCGATACAACGGTGTGCCAATCCTTAATCTGTTTCTTGACAGTTGTTCGGTATCCCTCCACGTCAGTGTTCTACAAATCGAAGAATGTGAGGTCATCTAATTGCTGGCAAATCAGATCCAAGCGCACCTGGCAAACCACGATATAGATGTTCAGTAAGGGCTTCTCCAGGAGGGTCACAGGTATCTGTGTGTGTTCGTCACGGATGTTCTCCAGGGGAACCAGATTAACATCCAATTCCTGGATTGTTCGTAGTGAAGTCCGTGAAGCAGACTTCCAGTGAATATTGCGGAGCGGAAGCAACGCTATTAGTGCGGTCTGAACCTGTTGCCATTTTGCAGAGGACAGGATGGACGGGGCCGCCGAATACGAGACAACAACGTGCTGGCTTGAGCTTGCCTGTCCGCTCGCCATCGTCGCCGCGGTGACGGAAGGATAGCAGTGGCTGTGCTAATTGATCGGCAACGTGGGACACTCAAAAAGTTTGTACTCTCACTTGACCTCCATCATGCCTGGCCCAGAAGACGCTAGTACCTCTACGACCACGCCGACGACTTTCAAGGCATTGGGCCTCATTGACCCTTTGCTCGAGGCTCTCGATCAAGTGGGTTACAAGGCCCCGACCGAGATTCAGGTCGAATCGTTACCCCATGCTCTG